GCGTCTTAACCTCAGGCGGGGCACGTGTGTGTGTGCGTGCCCAAGATCCCAAGAGGAGGATGGAGGGGAAGGGATTGCGGCGTCACCACCCCCCTGGGGAGTGATTTCTCGCTTTCTGTCTCTCTGTCTGGTGAGCTCACAGTGCCCTGTAGCAATAACCTCTGAAAAAAAAAAAAAGAATGAATGAATGACGTTAAAAAAAATTAAAAAGAATTATTTATGTATTTATTTATTCGTTCAGTTATTTAAATTTGACCAAAGAGAGAGACAGAGAGCAGGAAAGTGAGAAAGCCAGTCACCAGGTCCAGGACCCAAACCATGCCCAACCGTGTGGGAATGCTCAGCACCTTACCCACCACGCCACCTCCTGGCCCCAGGGAGACCTTTCATTCATCCCATTTTTAATCCCAGATCAGGAAATAAAGGCTCCGAGTATGAGACCAAGAGAACCCCACCGCCTGAGGAAGGCCAGCCAGGCGGTAACCCCCACCTGCCCATCCTCAAACAGAGCACCCCCCGTGGGGCCCCGGCCTCACCTCGGAGAGGTCGTCCTGCTCCGGGGTGTTGGAGCCGCCGCTGTCCTGTTCCTCCAGGTGCACCACGTCTAGGGAGGGGCCGAGAGTGAGCCCTGGTGGCCGGCTGGCCCTGCTCCCCCGAGGTCCCCGTGCACCCCCCAGCCGGCACCTGGAAAGGGGTCCCGCGTGAGGCCGAGCTGGCGGATGATATAGCGGGGGATGTCCGTCTTGACCAGGTGTCCTTCCTTGGCGTGGCCCTCGGCCGCCTCCAGCAGGTGGTAGAACTCCTCCGGGTTGAACTCCTGAGGAGGGAAAGGGGCGTTCGCCGCGGGCTCCGAGGTGTCCCCACCAGCCCGGCATCCACGCCCGGCCCCCTTACCAGGCACTCCAGCAGCCTCGCGGGGCGCGAGATGATAATGAGCAGCTTCTTCACCAGCTGAGTGACGAAGGCCACCTCCAAGCTCTCGGAGCGCTCGTAGGCCTGGGGTGGGGGACACAGGGGTGGGCTTGCAGGCACCTGGCCTCAGCCAGGCCAGCCTCAGGGACGCGCTGCCACTCGGTGCCATGTAACAGGTGAGGAAACCGAGGATAGGCCACACCGCAGAACCAATGACAAAAGGGGCCAGGAGGTGGCCTAGTGGTTCAGGCGCTAGACTCCCACGTGGTCGACCATGGTTTGAGTCCCGGATCCCGCAGCTAAAAACTCATGCCAGATGCCTATGCGTGCATGCTCAAAATCCCAGGAGGAGGATGGAGGGGAAGGGATTGTGGCCTGGCCATCCCCCTGGAAGTGATTTCTCACTTTCCCTTTCTCTGTGTCTGTCTCCCCAGCAAACACGTGCGCCCTATGACAAACACGTTAAAAAATAATAATGATTATAAGAAACACTGTCCTTTGCTAATTCTTTTCTCTCTCTCTCTTTTATTTTTACTTTTTTGTTTGTTTATTTTTTGCAATAGGACATATGCATTCACCAGAGACACAGAGACAGAGAGAAAGTGAGAAGTCAACGCCTAGAGGGATGGCCACACCACAATCCCTTCTTCATTCTCCTCTTGGGATTTTGGGCCTGAACACACTGGGCATGCCTTTCAAGCCATCAGGTCCCTACTCAAACCACAGTCAGCCATGTGGGAGTTTAGCACCTGAACTACACTGCCACCTGCTGGTCCCTCGATTCATTTTTTAAGGAGATTTTTGCTATAGTGTGTGTGCACTTGCCAGAGAGACAGAGAACAGAAAGCGACAAATCACCCCCCAGGGGGGTTGGCCACACCACAATCCTTTCTCTTCCATTCTTCTCTTGGGAATTTGGACACATATGCATACATGCCCAGCCTGAGTTTAAAGACACTGGGTCCAGGACTCGAACCGTGGTCAACTATGTGGGAAACCAGTGACATAACTTGTATACCATCTGCTGCTCCGCCTCAGTTCATTTTCAGAACAGCCCTGGATGGGACCAACAGGTGGTGTGGTGGTTAAGGCGCTGGACACTCCCACACGACTGAGCACGGTTCGAGTCCTGACCTGGTGGCTTGCTTTCTCACTTTCCTCCTCTTTCTCTCTGTGTCTCTCTCTGGTCAAATCAAAATAAAATGAATGAATGAATAAAAGTAAATTTTTTAAAAGTTTAAAATTAATTAATTAATTAATTTAAAAAAAAAAAAACAAAAACCAGCCCTGGGCCAGCTGGGTGGCAGTGGTTAAGGGAGG